CTAAATAACCAAGTGGACATCTATAATCATCTATATATTCTGAAAAACATGTAAATAAGGGATTTTCCAGACCATGTTTGATTACAAGAGGCTATCTAGTCGAAAGTCCTGCACGAAAGAAGGGTTGAGGCCCATGGCTTGAGACCAAGCCGTTTCCCAACCAACAGAACATCCACATCGATTATTTTCCCATATTTTTTGCATTAAAAGAACACGTTAGTTTATAGCGGACTTTCTATTGTCATATTATCCACATACTGAATTCAATAATCGGTTGTGGTTGTTCCTATCCCCATAATTCTTCTGATTCGCATTCCATTTCTGGTTCGTAAACTCACAATTTCTTTCCCAGGAGTGAGCAACTATAGATGTATTACCATCATAGCTATAGCAACTATAGGGAGATCACTTGATGTCACCAAATCATTACCGGAAGACATTGGATTACCATGTTTTGGGGCCCAGGGATGGCTAGGCGTTGCAGAAGCTTTGCGGGACGCTAGAGTCTCAAGGGCCCGAGATGGACCCGCAAGTCTTGGCCCTGATCGCATGTCAGACACTGGGACTGAGTCAACTGGGGAAACCAAGGGGTTATGCATGTGACGGGGTTGCAAATCAAGGAATATATATACATAGAGAGACCCAAATTCAGTTATTTTATTGGCCAGGAGTGGAGCGGCCGGTAAAGAGTGACATGCGGGTGTGGGTCAAGATGGGGTCAAGATGGGGTTGCTGTAGACGCACAGTTTTTGGGCCATTTCCAAAATCATTTGGTTCAGGAATAGAATTGCTGGATTCGCTTGAAATGTTTGGCTTCTGTGTCAGTGTTGGATGCAGGACCAGAATATGTTTACATGTATATATATATATATGTATATATATATATATATATATACACATGCAGAATGGACATGTACATATGTATTTTGCCTTTGAAAAAGTTTAATCAGGATTGCCACAGTTGTCTCTCTCACACACAAAATGCACCTACAGAATGTCCCATCAGAGCACAGCAAAAAAACTGGAGCTGGAGCCAGCAACTCCGAAAGTCTTTGATGTACCAATGTTGGCCCTGTATATGTTTGAATCGTATGACATATGTTCTGCAAGAGCCCTGCTGTGCCTTGAATCAACCATTGAACGGGAAGCCTCACACTTCTCCTGGATGTATCTTTTGTCCATGAGAGTGCCCACTCAAAAATCAGATGGTCGGCGTTGCCCGGAAAAGCACATGTCTGCGTGATTCCGATGACCAAAGGTTCGCCCAAGTGAATTCCTATTTTCCGGCTCAACTCCTCCAATTCCTATTTTCCGGCTCAACTCCTCCGAGACGAGAGGATGTTTCAAAGGATTATTTTGCTCTCAATGACGCCACAATACAGAGATTTGACTTTGCTTCTTGGGCCCTCTCAGTCCTATAGCACCGGGTTCCTCCTTAGGGGGTGTATACTTTTAGGCTTTTGGGTTCTGGCTGCTGGATGTGCTGCCTTGCAAGTGCTTCCTCTAGAAACAGTGCATTGTGATGTGGCCTGCCTGTGCCCGCAGCTGTGCTGCATTTTGTGAATTCATGACAATGTTCAACAGAAGATGTTGGGACAAGTACTACTGTGATAAACCCGCTGCCAGAACCTCCAATACTTTATACCAACCATTTCAGAAAAGTGATTGGGTTTGGCGATGATAACATGGTGCGACCGTTACCACATTACCACCTGCCTCATATCAAGGATCAACGCTGTTTGTTCAGAGCCAAAAAACCCAGGACCACCCTGAACTTGCTGTTCTTGCCGAATTACCGCCACAAGGCACGGCTTGCACGGCTTGCACGGCTTGAAGGGCTTGCAGGGCTTGCAGGGTTTGTGGCATGGCTTGAGTGGCACCCTTTGGTCATCGCTATGGAAAATCACCATGTTGAATAGGTAAATCATCTACAAAAGGACAATTTTTCCCCATAAATATGTTAGTTTACCAGATCGCAAAATTCCCTTTGGCAACTTGCCTTCTCTGGAACCACCCATGGGCTGTTGCGAGGATGATGCACAACGAGATGTCCAAGATGGGAGGTTTGGAGAAGTTCGCTGGGTGACCGTGTGCAGCACCATCGGAGAGGCGCCATCGGGGAATGTGGTTTGATATATATATATATAAAATCTATGGTTGGATAGACATAATATGTATATATTATATATATATATATTCATAATTTTCATTATTTAGCTGATTGGATTTCATATCAAAAATGATTGAATCTATGGTTCGTTGTGGTAGCGATTCAACGGTCGCCATTTGCTGAATCAGTTCGCTGCTTTTTTTTCGTCGCTGCAGATGGTGCAGATGGAGCGCATGGCGATGGATTCCACAAGCCTGAAAGGACTGGTCGCCACGTCGACAGGGGATAGACTTTTGTGGCTTGACCTCTGCTGGGAATTTGTGTTGCCATTGAAAAAGTGCAAGTGCGCTGCTTACTTTTTTGTGGTGAGCCTAATCAACTCGGATTTCTTGGAGGTTGACATGACATGATCCCAGAATAACTGACAGCATTTTGTGATACTTCTAGACTTCTAGGTACTACAGGGGTTCCCTGAACAGCAACACTTGCAGGAGACCGGGACCGCAGGAATATGATGTTTCGCCGCTTGCGGAAGGCTGAACCTTGGAACGAACAGAGATGGCTGTATCGCGTGTAGATATAGATGGTAGAGAGGATAGGATAGGATAGATTGGAGAGATTAGATGTGGTAGATAGATTAGATAGATTGGATAGAATCGAATCTAATACACTAGAATAGAATAGAGAAGGTAAGATGTGACAAGAGAAGACACAATATAAGTAGATTGATGAATGTATGGATGGATGGGTGGAGGGACAGACAGACGGATGGACGGACGGACGGACAGACAGACAGACAGATGGATAGATAGATAGATAGATAGATATATATATATAGATAAAGAGATAGTTCGATAGATCGAAAAATCGATAGATTGAAATTTACGTAGATACATTAATAGATCGATAGATCCATCGATCGATGGATGGATTCATAAATGGAAAGATGAAAAGATGGATAGATGGATCGGATAGATAGGATTGATAGATGGACAGATGGAAAGATGAATATATATATATATGGTTAAACCGATAGGTACATAGATCGATAGATTGATAGATCCATAGATCGATCGGCAGACAAACAGACAGACAGACAGACAGACAGACAGACAGACAGGTGACAGACAGACAAACAAGCAAACAAACAAACAGACATTCAGACAAACAGAGAATAGATAAATAGATAGATAGATAGATAGATAGATAGATAGATAGATAAAGATATAGATATATATATAGATATAGATAAATATAGATAGATATAGATAGATATAGATATAGATAGATATAGATAGATATAGATAGATATAAATAGATATAGATAGATAGATAGATATATATATGTATGTATGTATATACATATATATATATATATTTAGATAGATAGATAGATAGATAGATGGATAGATAGATAGATAGATAGATAGATATAGATATAGATATAGATATAGATAGATAGATAGATACAGATAGATATAGATAGATATAGATAGATATAGATAGATATAGATAGATATAGATAGATATAGATAGATATAGATAGATATAGATAGATAGATATATATGTATGTATGTATATACATATATATTTAGATAGATAGATAGATAGATAGATAGATAAAGATATATATATAGATATAGATAAATATAGATAGATATAGATAGATATAGATAGATATAGATAGATATAGATAGATATTTAGATAGATAGATAGAGATTGGATAGGATGGAAGGCTTTCTGTGGCGTAATCACGGCTATATGCACTGGAATTTTTCTGGATGAGATTTGATCACGGCACCGAAGGAGAGCATAGCATGTCATAAAGCAACTGCGTGGTGAAGAGAGTTTAGTGCAGTGACATGCAGTATAGTTAGTCCCATCACTATGTACTTAAATATGTATATACCTGTACAATGTACATATATGTATATGTATGTCTAATGTACGTATATGGTCATACATATGTGTGTATGTATATAGGTAGACACGTATTTATATGATTATATGTATATATATATGTGATTATCAATGATTGTATATAATTATATGTGTATATATGATTATATGTCTATATATATATACGTATATGATTATATACATGATTATATATATATATGATTATATGATTATGTATATATATATATTTGATTATATATAATTGATTATATATATATGCTTATATGTATATATCATGAACATGTTTTAAACGAATAGTGTGCGCCAGTGTTATTTTCAGCATGAATTTGCTTCTTCATAAGCTTGTGTCGCGTCATTGTGCTGAGTCCCAAGGCATCCCAAGATGTAGTAAAAACCGTGCAGCTTGGTGCTGCCTTGGCTGAACTGCTCCTGTCCTGTGCCAAAGTTGAAGTGCCGGCAGAGCAGGCGGACCTGACACTGCGTTGGCTGGAATTCTGGTCTCAGTGGAAAAATAAAAAACCACAGAGATGTCAGTACTAAGGATTTGGAATTGGAGGCTTGAAATTCGATTTTTAAAATGCTTAAACTGTTTGTGTTTTCACTTCGATGGAATTGGAGGCTTGAAATTCGATTTTTTTTGTCGTTATGTCGTTATTAGATGGGTATCGGGAAGAAATTTTAACGCCCCCAATTATTGAATGTATGTACGTATGTATATATATATATTATAAATGTGTGTGAGTGTGTGCACATATAGACGTATATACATATAACTGTACATACACACATATACATATATATATATATACATCTATACACATACTCGTACAACGAGACATACATATCAACCCCAGGAAAATTATCACTGGTTCCATCCGCCCGGTGTAGGTTCCCGAGAAGTTCAATGCGGAGAACCCCCCGCAGGATCTCCCAGTCATGTGGATCTCAAAATGTTCTTGGACTGGGGTGGTTCTTGGCTCAATATCTGCCTGCAACTTCTTGAATCCACTTGAGTGGAATTTTCTAAGGAAACCTGGACAGAAGGTACTGCTGGAGGTGGCTTGAGTCGAATTGGTGTGCAAGAGACGTTGAAACTATCTGCCTTTTGTGCTCAAGAGGTTTTGTAGTGCTCACGCTTGTTTCCATCAAGCAGAGAAGTTCTTCGACACGACACCTGCTTTCTTTTTTCCTGTTTCCTCCCATTTTTCTTGGTTCCAATCCCAATTTTGGCTGGTTAAACTCAGATTTTTCCTATTGACTGGTGGCCTCCCATTTCCTCATCGCTTCAGGCTTTGCAGCACCGGCTACGCCGTGAAGGGAAGAGAAAGCACGTCCGGCACCCAGGCGATTTACCAATTGGAGCATGGCTGACAATGTCGCAGATATTCTGTTCATCCAGGCAGATTCCAGAGTGAAACCTGTTTACAAAACATCCCGAACTGGAGGTGTTATATAGAATAGATGCATGCATGCTCCATGCATCTAGAATTCCTTGTTGGATTTCTAAACCCTATTACCCACACCTGCACTCGGTTCCCTCTCAACTCCTAGCCAGGTCCGCTTTAAAAATCCAAGCTCTAGCGACACTCTTCGCATGGAGTACCATCAGCAGATAATGTAAGTAGATGACATGATATAGCATGGCCCAACATAATGCAACATTGCAACATAACATACCTCTCCATTTATATGGCATAGGCTACATTGTATTGCGTATATATATATATATTTCATTGTGTCACATCAGATTCCGTCCCACACAATAATGCATCCCATATGTGAATGCACTGGTGCTGGACTCTTGGCCAGAGAAGTGGAATGACCGGATCATGAAAAGTAAGGCCAAAACCTGGCTGAACATTTGCTTCTCAGCTATAATATAGTAAGATCCAACACACATGGCGATCCATGAATTTTCCGCTATGGTACTGAAACATGGCCTTGTAAAAATCATCAGTTTTGATCATGTTTCGCAGGAAAGCCATCTATAAATGGTCATACATCATTACAAGCCGTTTCTGATAGAGATTTCAGCAATTTTTATGGATATACATAACATGATCCATATGGAGGTTTCCTGAAATAGGGGTACCCCTAAATCATCGAGTTTAATGGTATTTTCCATTACACACCATCCATATCAATGGGGTACCACCATGACTGGTAGGACACCCACATTGCCACCGGGCACGGTTGCTGGAGGTGGGTGTGATCTCCTTACACCCTGCTGTGCGCTCCATGCTGGAGAGTGACGAGGACCATTGTTGGTTTCTGGGGATACATGCATGCATGTATTGGTGTGCATAGATACAACATGTATATGCGGTGTATATATATATATACGTATACATATATATATATATATATACATACATATATGTATATATATATATAATATACACAGGTACTCCTGATTTGGATAGATTATGATGGATTTGGCATAGCCTAAACCTTTGTTCTCTCCTTCAACGCAGGATTTGATGCGCTTCATTCAGCCCAAGCACAAACCAATGATTATCCCTCCCGACCCCTGGAGACCCTGTGGCCTTGGACCTCAAGGCTGAAGGGACTGTGGAAATCTGTGGAAGCTTCAAAAATCACAGGGCGATCTTCAGAAAGTCCATAGCTGCAATTCTATAGCTGCAATAGCTGCTTTCGCTGCTTTCCATCCGAGAATGGTCCCCTTTTTGGTCACCCTGGTCCCCTTTTTGCGACGAACGGCCAGGTCCATATTTGATTCATCCCGTGGAGTTCGTGAGAACAACGGATCAAAAGATGACGTGCTTGCGAAGTTACAATCCCACTCGTGTCGCCGGTGTCATGGACCGATCTCTTGGGGGCGGATCTGGGTGGAAAAGTCCAATTTGAATAATGGTGATCTAATGGTCATACCATGTCATACCATAATTATCCATGGTGATACTGTAAGATATGGTGATACTATGGGGATAGATGATGATATTATCCCATAATGTGAAATCTTCGGAGATCGATGATGGGACCTCTATTCCCACAACCGCGGCAATGGGCACCCTGCAGCACAGAGAACTCGTCCAATTTGAAGTCAAACTATTTCGGGAAAATTCTGGCAACATGTAGAAATTCTGGCAGACTTCATAACGCACTCTACAAGTTTGAGAAGTCGAAGCTGCGAATCGTTTTGAAGGTCAGATATCTTCAGCAAACCAAAATAAGGTGATAGATATTCCCAAGGGCAATCATTCTGGCTTTGGTGAACTTTCAGTTTTGCCCATCTGAGCTTTCAAAAAGCTGAGAAACAGACTGGGGCTCCCCCTTTTGCAACAGTTGGCTGTGAATCCTATCAGGTGGGGTCGGTGGGAACCCCACTGGAAAATCCCTCAACCAGGACTTCCTCGGGCGAATGCCGTGGAAAATCAATCGGTAACTGGGATTCAGATGGCCTTTCCATGAGCAGTTTGGTCCAGATGAAATTGGAGGGGTTTTCTCTTTTCATTCAATGGGAACTACCAAATTGGGAGGTGGAGCCTGCAGATGGACTTGAACCCACACTGGACATGTCTACTTTGAAAGTGCTTTGTCTTCCTTGTCTTGGCCCTTCTCGGACTGGACATTACAACTCAGGTTGTTTCTTTGTGTGGAGGGATTGTCTCAACCCTGACCCCATAATGGCACAAGTAGCTTGGTTTGAAAATACGGTACCAGTAGTGGTTGAGAATCATTTTCCTCTTGAGCTACTTCCATTGGTGAATTTCTCCATGATTCCCCATGTGAAAGCCCATCTCTTCACTGGTGAAAGCTTGGTGAAATCCCCAAGTTTTGGAGAGACTTTTAGAGACTTAGCTGGTGAAAGCTTGGTGATCCCCAGGCGAATTCTTGACTTGATGGAACACGTTAAAAGTGAAGATCTTGCTGTGGCGGACGTTCCGCAGCAGAAGGACCCGGAGGCAGGGGCTGATGGCCTTCATGAAACGTTGGAAGCGTTGTGAAGGTGCTTGGACCTTTCTGAAGAATCAAGAGAATATGTTTCACTATGTTTCACTTCAAATAGAAAAAATGAGGTGCCGCTTTCGCTTCAGTCACTCCTTGCAGCTGGCTGCCAGTGGCCCGGGCCGGGCCGAAGTGCTGAGGTGCCACCGTTGCCGACGACCCACGAGGAGCTGATCCTTTCAGACCAAGAGC